CCGTTTCCTTCTCTCTCGGGTAACTGCCAGCGGGTCTCTGATCGGACTCCGTGTTGGTGTAGTTTGTCCACATCACAACTGATCGCCACAGTTCCAGCGCCGTTCACTGTCCTGATGACCAGCAAAGTCTCCCGGCCGCAAGTTTTGCAGAATGAACGTCTGGGATAGACAAGACACTCAAAACGTTCACTCTCTTTGTCGCCTGAAGGGGGCGCTGGATCTATGCGTGCCGCCATCACCATGGCAACAACATAAAATGGGCCTCAAAATGAGCTCTGTTACATCAGTTACATATGTCACTGGGACATAGGAATCCTGTTTACATCGATCCCAGCTTGTCTGAAACACATGAGCTCTGGCTCGAGGCCATTAAGTGTCACAGAAGTCTTTGTCATGGTGGCTCATTGTCAGCTACACCCCATAATGCTCTCTGCCTGCCAACACAGACCTGCCTGTAGTCCAAGCGACCGCCTCCTCAGGTCACTACATGATAAAACAGTAAAAGGCTTCACCTGGAGGCACAGCCAGGTAGGACAGCAGATGGACAATACATGCTCAGGCATGCATGTAGATAAAACATCCATGTGGTTCACAGCTTGTGGAGCAACAGCACACCCACCCTGTCAACACTGCATTTCTTACTGGAGCTTCACAACAAGCTTTGTTGTCTGTTGTCAACCATGTATGCACCATTAAGCAGCAGCTTGCATGCAGAAATGCAGTTATTTCTTAACGCATTGCAGAGCTTTGCACTTGTCAAGCATGTGCCCTGGATTGATTTTATTAAACTCTAACATACGTGAAGTGGGTTTTACTTGGAAAACATCTGGATTAAAAATATGAACTCGGATAACATTAAAGGCATGAAAACTTGATCGGGACATTTCTAATCTACACCTAATGATTTAGAATCCCTATCAGCTATGGGCATCAGTGTTAGAGTCCTGTTGGTACCGTGAGCGAAGCGATGGAGCCAGTAGTAGCAGAAGTCCACCCCCAGGAAGGTGAGCCACCAGGTCCATGCAGAGTCCCAGGGCAGCTCCACCAGGTGGTAGTGGTTCCACACATACAGGTACGCAGACAGCTCGCAGCTTCTCATCAGCAGCCTGATGGGCAACCAAAGCTCTGTGTTAGTCTACAGTGTGCTCATGTAGGTACAGAATGCAGCTCATGTTCCAGATGCAGTCCACGGTGCATGACGGTCATCTGGTCACCTCATGCTGCACGTCCAAACATCACAGCAGGAAGACTTGATCCTGTTTCATTTGTAAATTTCTTCTGGAGAGTCAAACATTTAAGGAAAACTAAAGGAATGTTGCACAACACCTGTCTGCCTTCTTTATATATCAAGACAGAGGATCAAACAGAGCTACGCTGTCTATCCTGTTTAACTTTTGTACTGTTCTCCATTTCAGTCATTTCCACAGAATACATAACGATGTAGTGATGTGGCTATCGAGAAAGAAAATGCAGCACATGTAGTGAAAAAAGCCTAGAATAAGGTTCTTCTTCACCTGCATTCAGAGCATCTTCATAATAGAAATAAAACTGTGCTCAACATGTCTCGCTTGCTGAACATCTGTTTATGGAAAAACACCAACGTTCCCCAAACTACAGCGAGCGCTGACTAGGCTGTGCACAGAGAAGCCTCTAGTCTCCCCTCAGTGCAGCTATCTGGGGTACGGTGGCTCGATAATGTTCAGGGAGATGTTAGTAATCCAATTATTTAAATAATGAAAGTAAGAGGGACGAACTATAACATCTTCTGACTTCTGTGCTCTCTCTGCACCTACTGAGTAACATACATTGCATTACAGCAACCAACTAAAACATCTGATCTGCAAGAATCACACAGGTGCCATATTTTTATTCAAGAAACAATTATGCAGCATCATAGTAAAGAAACAAAAGTCAAGCAGCATTTATTTTTCTGCACACACTGCGACCCCGTTTACAGTAAAATCCGACTGCCTGAACACTCACGTCGGGAGTCTGGAGATCATTCCAGCAGATACGGAGGTGAGTCCATCGCTGATGGTGACCACCGGGGCCCCCGTCTTCAGCACGCCCACCACCAGCTCCAACACCATCAGTACTATAAAGAAAGGAGTGGCCTGCACACACACACACACACACACACAAATACAAACACAAAATCATGATTCAGCACTGTCCAATACTGTCAAAACAAGACAGTTTTAAGTCCACTGTTGCTTTTACCAGTTGTGTTGAACTTGACTATTTGTTTTGGCAGATGAGCTAAAAGCTCAGAGGACTTTCATGTCTTGTGATCCGTGATGTTTGTCTCACGGTACGAGCCTGGGGCAACGGGTCTAAAGCCACAATAAATTGGCAGATCGGGGAGCGCAAACATTTGTCTGAGCGGAGCAGCGGCGGGGGCAGAAACGATCTCAGTGGATGAATTAAACATCGGCGCTAACAAACAGCACATTTTCATTTTATTATTATTACACCGGAGCCAGGCGGAATCAAACAAAGCGTCAAAGAGGCTATTTTAGGAAACTGTGCAGTCTTGATGATAAAATCAGGGCTGCAGACACAGTTGGCAATTAATTTACTGGATGACGGCTAATCGACTAATTGGTTATTGGCCAAAGTTTTAATATTCTCTGGTTTCTTTACTATAAAATTTTATGATGTTATATTAGTCAGGAAAACATTACCTGTGATTTTAATAATGACCAAATAAACGAGTAATTTAATAACAGAGGAAATAAGCAGACTGATTAATCACCAATAAAAACAATACAGCTGCAGATAAAATACAGTCATGCAAGGTTATCTTTGTAATGCTAAGCTAGTTAGTCTGTTACCCTCAATAGCTGGAGCCATAATTAGTTAAATCAGATTTTAATCAGAAGTCCCTCTTTGTTGTTGGTCACCAAACTTTCTTTGCTTTTGAAATTCTCCATCTTTGAAATCAATACGACCTTTTTAGCAAGTTTTAAAAAGGCTCAACTGTAAAGTTGTGCTTGGAAGAGCTCCAACTTTCACTCATCTGACAAGAATGCAAAGTTGAAAGCTGCAAATTAACAAGTCCTGAGGCTCCATTTCAAAGTGAGCACAACAACAGCAGTAACTTAGTTTAAGTCAAAGTATTGATCTCTGAGCGTATTCTGAGGCAGCACGTGGCAGGAAAACGCTGCGTTCTACCAGCATGAGTAAACTTTAGTCTCATGAAGGCTTAAAAGAAAAATAAATCCTGTTTTTGAAGAAGAACATTCTGTGTTTCCAGCAGCAACCACAACAAAAAAAAAAAAAAAGCCAAAGAATAGATGACATGCACTAACTACTTATGACAAAACAAATGGCGAGCGCAAACCAAACAGTCAGTGACAGGCCTTTATTTCTAACGTTTCTGGAAACATGTAATAACCTCTTAATGGGTCTGTCAAACATGGAACAAATTAGTGAGGGACGGGGTTAGCGAGCGGGTCACCACTGTGACTGGAGCAGCGTGTGGGCCCTGCTGCTCGGCTTCACGTCCACCGAGTGGCTGCAGTCGTAACCGGGGGGACACATGGCCTCGGTGAGAGCGAGGAATGAAGGGCGTGACGGGACCACAGAGGAGCACATCTGCAGGTGGGGAGGGAGGAAGTGTGTGTGTGTGTGGACAGAAGTGAGAGTGAGTGTGCATGCATGTGCATATCCCCATGTGAATGATTCCACTTTAGCATGCAGGTGTGTGATGTGAGTGTGTGTGTGTGCACCGGCAGAGGCGAGAGCGCCACCAGGGACCCGCGATCACACGCAACGCTCCAACATCTGGCAGCCGACTGCGGCGCTGCAGCTAACAAATGGGCTCGCAGCGCAGGCAGACCTCCTCCAGACCTCCTCCAGACCCGCTGAGAGAGAGATTATCATTCTGGACGCCGGCCTAAAACCTTCCCTCCTTTTTTCTCTCCCCTGTCTTGCAGATAGTTTTACCTCTGCAGCCTCTGAGTTCTTGACAGCTCGGGACAGAATTATTCAGCAGGGCAAGCTGATTCTCATGCTGTGCAACCAAAAGAAAAAAGAAGACTAAGAGGAAAAAAAAATGCTTCTTTATTTTTCTTTTCTTTTTAACACATGCATCTCCGGCCGCTGCCTCTCCTCCTACATTTCTGTTTCATTTAGAGATTTTTCTTTTTCATCTCGCGTGCAGTGAAAATGTCTTTTCATGTACAACAAATAAAACACATTAAAGTGAAACTATTTTCTAAAGCAGCATACTTGGAGCTTGTGCAGACTGTTTGTTGTGGTGTCTAATAATTCTATTTTGTTTTCTTCTAAATTCAACCTTCAACTTCAACTTGACATTTGTGGACCAGATGTCTGCGTTTTCCCCAAACAGCCCTTTAATAAGGTCACGGATGACTGATGCTGGCTGAAAACATGCAGCCTGACAATACGCTTTTATCACCGCTGTCTGAGAAATATTGTGTTTGCATTCGAATCACCAAATAACAGAGACCTGCCAACAACCCGCAAAGCCCGTAATTTCAAACAACTCTCGAAATTAGAGGATTGTGTTTTGCTTTTATCTAATTAATCTGGCCCGCTGGGATCACAGAAAAACAATTGCGAGGAATAATTAATGACACGTCACGCGCCGTAAACAACGCTGAGTCACCGCGCCGGCCGGGCACACCCATGCAAACTTTTATCGCCATCGAGCCCTGCAGCAACAACAAATTTGCTTAATCACATTTTGTAGTGGATTATAAGGACGCCTGCTGTGGGGGTAATTGTTCTCCTCCCCTCATGTGCCTATAAAAGTTCATAACAAACATGTGCTGGTAAACCTGCACCAGACACTCGCCACAATAAAAGGCAATTGAGACGCTGTAAAGTGACAGCGAGGAGCAGAAAAAATAAAAAAAACACGCCTGTTGGTAAACTGTGCATTAAGCAGAAGTAATTAAGTTCATAGATTTAGTCTGTGCAGGAATGCACGGCACCACTGGAATGAACTGTAGTGACGCACATTCCTCATTCCACCGGGAGAAGTTAAAGTTTTGCTTTTCTTTTAATTCAAGGTGGCTCAGTGGTTAGCACCGTCGCCTCGCAGCTAGAAGGTCGCCGGTTGAGGACACCTGGGATCTTTCTGCGTGGAGTCTCCATGTTCTCCCCGTGCAGCGTGGGTTCTCTCCGGGTTCTCCGGCTTCCTCCCACAGTCCAGAAACATGTTGAGGATAATTGGTGATTCTAAATTGTCCGTAGGTGTGAATGTGAGTGTGCTTGGTTGTCTGTCTCTAAGTGTAGCCCTGTGATAGACTGGTTACCTGTCCAGGTGAACCTGCCTTCACCCTGAGTCAGCCCGTGATCCTAATGAGGATTAAGCGGAGTACAGATAATGGATGTTTGTGTGTGAAATGAGTCTACTGTATGAGTCTACCCGTCTTGCTGCATGTTCACATGTGACATATTCTTGCATCTCCACCAACCAATAGACTTGCATCCATTCCTCTCCGTATAATAAAAGCAACAAGGACTTTGAAGTGTGGAAGCTCACTGACAGAAACAACAAAAAAAACAGCTCCTCGTATGTGTTCATGTTTGACAAAGTCGTAGCCGTGACAGCAGACGATGCTTTAAATATTCATGTTGCTGCAAAGAAGCTACGAATTCTTTCGCATGGATGCTTCAACTCAAGAACAAACAGCACAGCTTCACCGAATACTAGCTACACCAACTCTCCTCACAATCTCCTCCTTTCTTCCTGCGTCGTGCTGTTGGATAACGGCTGACCTTTTGGTTATAAAATGTCATCACTTCATCATTTCATCCTTTCAGGCGTTTTGGTGAAATATTGTCATAATTCGTGTTTGAACAAAAGCGTGTTGTGTGAATCCACAACCGTCTCAACATCTGACCACCGAAAGCGACATCAGCTCATCCGCGAGCACAAACAAACATTTGTGCCAAATCTGAAAACACTTCCTGCAGGCGTTCCTGACATATTGCGTTCCTGAGCATGAGTTGCGCGCATGAGACAAGCCAAAAAACACAATGCCTCCAGCCGCAGCTGCCACCGGCGCATAGCAACGCTCCGGCTAACCAACTTTAAACATTAAGGTTTTGGGATCTCCAAAACATCAAGCCTAATAGAAAGCCCTTTATGGATTGATTGCGTAACAACACCATGCATGTAAACATTTAGCTCATCTGCAAGTAGAAAAATACAATCAGCCAAAAATCCTTTAAGCAGCAAAACTTCACCTGTTTGAGGATCAGCAGTGTGAAGATTTGCTTGTTTTCCTGCTTAAACTCAATATTATTTGGATTTTTGGACATTTTAGCATCAACATCTCCATCGCTTTATAACTTATTACTGACAACAAATTTACTTTTTCCAACTTTCTATTGTTTTTAAAAGAATTTTTCTTGTTATGCTGCCTTATTGTTATTGCACAGCCTTGAGAGCAGCCACTTTGCATTTCACTGCACTGAGCAACTAAAACTCTTCAATCTTGAATCTAGTCACACAAAACAAGCGAAAACATCAATTAACCTGTGATTACAATGAACACTACCCACTTTTGTTGGTTACACAACTTGTATTTTGCTAGATTTTCCTTTTCATGCTGTTAAAGGACAATGAAATTCACAATGAGTCAGTCAGTTACTCTGATTATCAATTAACCTGCCGTTTAATGTTTACGTCGCTCCGTCTGCAAAATGTCTGAAACTACTGCTGTAGCTTTAGATGATGATTCCAAACTGCTAGTTTTATGCAACCGAGAGTATTAAACTCAAAGACATTCAGTTTGGTGTCATTTATGTTGCAGAAAAACAACAAATCTTCACACTGGGAGGGTTTAAATGGTAAATATTTGGCATGTTTGTCTCACAATAGGCAAAAAAAAACTGAATATTTAATGAAAATGAAATAATTACCCAACTGCTGCAGCTCTACTTCACTATTTTCATGCACACTGCAGATTGAACCCTTTATGTTGTCTCATTCCTCCACCTCTGCCTGACAGTAAAGGTCACTGGAGGTCACAGGCAGCTGGCTGGTTTCAGCTCTACATCACAAGCATCACCTGCATCAGACGTGAACGAGGCTGCACCCACCTGCTCCACATACTGAGGCACATCCTCCACCTTCTCAAAGGATGATTCATTGGGCGTGAGCATGAAGAAAATGCTCCGGAAGCCCGTGGACACCGAGCCGAGCTCCACTCCTCCAGCCATGGTCGCCGCTGCTGGTGCTGCTGCAGCCCCGGTGACTTCTGATACCTGTGCAGGTGTTTACCGGCTCGCACGGTGGGAGGGGGGGGTGGACGCTCCGCTGAAGCCGGTGCGAGCAGTCTGCTTACTGCTCAACTGCCTTGTTTTGGTTTTGTTTCAACTTAAAGTAGGTCAGTTACGAAATGCAGAAGCCCTGCAGCTGATGAGCAAACTTCTCACATGCAGGACAGCAGGGAGCGCGTCGGTGTAAGGCGGCCGCAGGGTCCCGTTACCGACCGCTCACTCATTAATCCGCCGTTTATAAGAGCTGCAGAGTTCACCTTTGGTCACGCTGCTGACACTTGGAGCTCTCGCGTTCCGTGTCACTTGATCTCGCGAGATTTTGCGATAACACGCAGCCTGGTGTTTACATGTTTTGGAGCCTGCTGGTCAAACTCCAGCCACACACACACTGGCCCTGGCATGTGTGTTAGTTATGGCTTTAATGGCTTTATTGTGTGTGTGAAAAAAGAAATTAGATGTGAAATATTCACCAGAGTTTTTAGAGGGCAGGAAGGTCGCGTTAAATAGAAATTAAATTTTGAAACCTGCTTGTTAATTGATTCATGAATTGACTTTATCTTTGAACTGCTGATTGTGGTATTTAGCAGGTGTAACGTTATGTAAGAAGACTGATACCACTCACAGGTATTCATCAAATGTAAGGCCGCATCTGGCAATAGCTTAGCTTAGCTTAGCATAAAATATAACATATTACTGACCTTCTGCAGCAAAAAGTACACATGACATTTTTTTTTTGTTTGTTTTGTTTTTGCAGTTGTTTCATATCTCTTTGTGGTCAATATAAGTATGTAGACAGCGGGAACGGCAGCATTTCATCGGTTTTAGGAGCGAAACGCCCCGTTTAGAACAACCACGTGTCAAACCAACACGCTGAAATGAACCGTCTTTGCTGTATTTTGAGCTGTGGGGACGTGTGAAAGTTTGTTTAAATTGTTGAAAAGCAGCACAAAATGGGACCTTTAAGTTCCTTTAAACACAATAGATGAACTCTAGCTGTTGAGAGGGCGCTCACATGACGTCCCTGTCAACTTCCCTGCTCTCTATTTCTTATATTTATATGTACATTTTTCTGTACAGTATGTGTGTATCTCTATGTGTAAAGCTGCTGACAACAATGTGAATTTCTCCACTGTGAGATAAATAAAGGCATATCTTATCTTATCTCTCACATGACGCTTTATCGCTTAGCGGCTACTTGTACAACCAGTCAAACCAGATTACATTCATGCTAACATGTCTCGGTAACCATCGTGGCCAGCCGCTGCAGATAAAGCCTCAGTAGATATGAGGCGTTTCTACACCACTCTGGGTACCCAGTACTCTGGGTCAAGGATGGTCGACGCCTGATACAGGAGGCTAAACCCAACCCAGGTTCAAATTCTGCTCAATCTTATCTGGTTAGTTATGGTTTTAGTTTACTGCTGGTCTGTGTGCGGTTACCCATCACTGATGATATAACATGATGACTGCAGAGGGAGGGCAGGACGTAAACTCTGAAGTAAGCAGAAAAGTGGAGCCGGTGTTACTCAGAGGACAAAGTGTGGATTAGCTGTGGTCATCTCATATCACACGGACGTTGTGCTTCAGGTGTTATTTCAGAGGGAACCAAACGAAGATGAAATGCATCCACTAAATGTATTAGTTTACCTGATTTGTCATCTGATTTGTAATCTTTGGGTTCAAGTCGCATCTCTACGGGTTCGTTACCAGCAGACCTCGACCCGATACCTGCTGCTCGTCTTAGTTACAGCTTCAAATATGATCCAGCATGATGCACATTTGTTCTGCGCCTCCATCAGATCACTCACCCAACTGTCCTTTACAACCAGAGGAGAACTAAAATGATCGTCTTATGATCACGGTGCTCTTGTATAGCTAAGAGACAACAGCTTTGTTTTTTATTGTTTACAGTTACGGCCTGTTGGTGAAGAGCTTTAAAGCAGTTCAGCTTCAGTCTCAGAAATAATTTTGATGCTTTTAGTGAATTTTTGCTTATTTTTGTTTTAACCACAGCCGCCAGAGATGATGTAAGAAAAAGACAGCAGTGTGGAGGGAACACATTTGGAGGTGAGCGCGCTGTGACACATGCTTTAGTGCGTTTAAAGTTCATCATAACTGGGCTGATAATGTCCACATGTTAGATTTTCAGGCCTCGTGGAAAAGGTGAGCGTCCTCCATACTCGTGAATCCTCTGCAGCGAGTCTGTTGCAATGCAAAGCGGGATCATGTTCATGCTGCGGGTCGCTTTAGTGGAAAAGGGGAAAAAACTAAAAGCCTCAGATGGCGTGCGAGGTGCCTCTTTGAGAAATTAGAATGCACAATCACAACGTGGTGAAAGACGAGATCAAGTCATGAAATTATTTTCAACTGGATTTTGTAACAGAATCTGATCCTTTGCGGGTTCTCCTGAGTTTTGGCAGGAGCCTCCGACCCTGCCCCCAGGCAAAGGTGCATTTAGCATGCACCAGCTTTCTACACTCGCTGCGCTGTTTAATTTATTTCAGCTTCACTTCGTGGAACCCGCATTCATCACCCTGGATATATATATATATATATATGGATGGAAGGATGGCTGCAGAGACGAAAAAAAGTCGTTCATACGAAATTCCATTTACCACTGGTTAAGTTTTATTCAATTTGCAAGTGTCCCTGAAAAGGTTTAATAAAGCACTTATTTCAGGTTTCAGATTTGTTTGCAAAATGTCATCTCCAGGCGGAAAAGTGTCAGCTACAGAGCTGTCAGTGTGTATTAGTGCGTGAGCTGAATAGTCTGGGTATAGAGTCATCGTTAAGGTAAGACAATACTGACAGTTATGTACAGATCATTTATATTAGCGAGGCAAATTTGATTTCCTGGCACTTGATTTGATCAATAACTCAGTTACATCGTAGTTTACACGTTTGTACAGTAGAAACCGATGGAGGTGCAGACTGTGTGTTGAACAGTGCAAATCCAAGCCGAAGCCTCAGAACACGCAACATGGAATGTTAACAACAGTTTTACTAAATAGGATTTCCAAAACGCATTGTAAGATTCAGTAACTTGCTCTAACCAAGACACGGTTCAATATTTATAACAGTCTTCTCTTTTTTTTTTGGCATCTATGAAGGAAATTTGTAACCAATGGCTCTTTGACATATTTCACCATCTTCTTTTATGTGCTCAGTTCTTCAAAATTTACATTTTGCCTACACAAAGAATTAATTTTCTAACATACATCATTCCTCTGTACATTTGTACACTTATTTAGCATCGTTGTATGACGATGGCGAATCAGCAAACAGCAGTCCTTCTAAGGACGGTCCTGAGGCAGAGGCAGGGCCTAAACTCATGAGGGAGGCGGGGACGGATGTGTGTGTGCATCATAAGTGAGCGTGCTCGGAGCTCTGGTCGCTGTCGTGACTGTCCTCATTGGCTAAGGAGTCCGTCGAGTGGTGGAGCGCTGCGATGCCAGAGAACTCTGACGGCAGCAACGTCCCCTTTTTCACATTCACCAGTTCTTTCTCTCGAGCCGCTGCCCCCTGCTGGCCGCCTTTTACTCTTTTCCACTTCATCCGTCTGTTTTGGAACCACACCTTCACCTACGGGGTTAAGTAGACAGAAAGTGTCAAATTCAGAGCTCTTTAGGGGAGAGCAAGGAGTCACACAAACAATCAAGAAGCAGTTAGGAAGCCCCACCGCCTGACAGCAACGTTCTCTTAACGTTTGGCAGCTACTCCTACAGCAGCAATTAGTGTGTGCACTGTTCCATCTGCCACTTGGCGTCTACCTGTTTTTCCCTGACTCAACAGCCTCGGCCGTATTTACGTCTCTCAGATTGATGATTAAGCTGTTGCTTAAAACGGTTTACACGTCAAGTAGCAGCAGAGGCTCCCTGAGTGTCGACACATGCGCCTGAAGTGTGTGTGTGTCGGGGGGGCAGGGGGGCAGGGGGGGCAGGAGAGTGGTCGCCCCCGTCAGGCAGGGTGGGGTGGGTTTATTTTTGGGGAGTGTCATTCCGAGGGGACCGAGCAGTCACATGGCCAGGAAGTGAGTTGACAGCACAAACGTTTATCTTGAGCGTCAGGGCCGTGCGCTGAGCCCAGTATCACCTCAGATTCTTTACAGGCCTCAGGGCCTTTTCTGAGAGAACCGCGGCGAAGCAGCGCTTATTTATGGCTCTAATATCAACCCAGACACGTTGTTCTCAGGGATCGTGGACACACACTAGTCAGACTGTACCTGCACTGCTTTGCATTCCACCTACAGAGACGCTCAGTCAACACCGAAGACTCCTGACCTCAGTGTGAAGAAGGTTAACAGAAGTGCTGATCTAGACGTTCCACACGGCTCGTTTAAACTAACGGGCCTCTTTTTTTTACAACTTGAAATCAACTAAGCAGACGACTGATGATGCATAAAGGAACAGAACTAGCACTGGATTTGTTTAATTTGATTTTTAGGTCAAAAAATGTTGACATTCAAGTTAAAAATGCGCTAAATTTGTTTGAAAAGTGACATTTTAACAACCATATTTCAATGTGTTAAAATAGCTGCATCTAACTTAAAGGAAACGGTGCTTTTTTAACCAAACTTAGTCTGATTTTAAACCAAACACGCAAAACCTGAGGCTCCACTGCTGCCATCTTTGAAAACAGTCCAGTTTTCACAGCCTACATAAGACGTAGAACATCCATCAGATTTCTCCAAACAGCTCGCGCAGCATAAATCGAGCGCCGCGGCCAACTGATTGCGCTGCCAATATTTACCTCACTATCTCCTCCTGCTGTATATTTTCCCAGACAAAGCTGAGGTCACACACGTCGTGTGCAGCACGAGCTGAAGAGATTTCATGCACATTTTATGCCGCTTAAAGCCACAGAAAGATTAATTGCAACAGTCTGGGAGAGGAGGGCCGAGAGAGAGTTAGGGTGGCAGACTGAGCGCTTGGTGGCCCCGTGGAGCTGAAAGGAGTTCTTCACAGATTTTTATTTTATTTATTTTTTTGGTGATGTGATGCAGAATGATACTCGAATACATTTTCATCTCACAGATCACAGGTTGTTTTCAGACTGAGGAAGCTAAA